GACGAAACGTTTGCTCCAGTGGCTCGCCTGGAATCCATCCGATTGCTACTCTCCATTGCCTGTGCTTTAAAGATCAAGCTCTTTCAGATGGATGTTAAAACAGCCTTTCTAAACGGCTATCTCACAGAGGATATATATGTTGCACAACCGAAAGGGTTTGAAGACCGCAACATCCAGAATATGTATACAAGCTTCAAAAAGCTCTATACGGGCTAAAACAAGCTCCAAGAGCCTGGTACGAAAGACTTGCACAATATTTACTTCAAAATGATTACAAACGAGGAGGTTCGGACAAAACCTTGTTCATAAAACGATCAGGTAAACACATAAGCATTGCACAAGTTTACGTTGATGATATTGTGTTTGGGTCCACACAGACAGTGAAACGGACAAACTGGTCAAAGTTATGCAACAAGAGTTTGAAATGAGTATGATCGGAGAGCTGACGTATTTTCTAGGATTACAGGTCAATCAGTCAAAAGAAGGGATATTTATTTCTCAAGCGAAGTATGCGAAAAATCTCATATCAAAATTCGGTCTTGAATCTGCGAAAGATGCCTGGACACCCGTCTCAACAACTACAAAATTATCTAAAGACAATCAAGGAACTTCCGTTGACTCCACATTGTACAGGAGTATGATTGGTAGTTTACTGTACCTAACTGCTAGTAGACCTGACATCATGGTAAGTGTTGGTATGTGTGCACGCTATCAAGCAGATCCAAAGGAATCGCACTTGAAGGCAGTCAAACGTATTATAAAATACGTTAAAGGTAAAATAAATTATGGTATTTGGTATTCCACTGATACTAATCTCAGTCTTACAGGTTTTAGTGATGCTGACTGGGCTGGTAACCGATGATAGAAAAAGCACGTCCGGAGGATGCTTCTTTATCGGGAAAAATCTGGTTGCCTGGCTGAGTAAAAAGCAAAATTCAATCTCGCTCTGCACTACAGAAGCTGAGTACATAGCTACAGGCAGTTGTTGTACACAGTTGCTTTGGATGTGTCAAATGCTGTCCGATTACGGGTTTGATTAGAAAAATATGGTCCTCTTCTGCGACAACACGAGTGCGATCAATATATCTAAAAATCTGGTACAACACTCCTGGACGAAGCACATAGACATCCATCATCATTTCATCTGAAACTAGTTGAAGAAAAAGTAATTAAGTTAGAATACATTCCAACTGACAAAAATCTTGCAGATTTATTCACGAAACCATTAGACAAATCCAGGTTTGAACTACTTCGTGCAGCCCTCGAAGTTTGTACGATTAATGTCTAAATTCTCCAGCAGGTATTTTTTTTAATTTATTTTTTATTTTTGGACTAACTGATTAATTGGTTTACGTGCGTGTTTTCTGTTACCAGGGACAAAGGGATACGAATTTGTTTGGGTTTCTTTAATCTTTCCGGTCTTATTTATGTATATATGAATTACTAATTTTCCCTTGGAATGTTTTATTTTTTTGGATATCTTATGCTTGCATCTAGAAGACGAATTCTAGTCAAACACCATCAAACTCTCCTTTTTCCACTCATCTACTAACCTATGAATATCATTATATCTATCCTAGCCATCAAAATCTCACGCCTTTTCAAGCTACACATCAAATCAACCCATTACTTTTTGTCTCTCTTGGTCTTCCTCTCAACCCGAGATCACCACCATCATCTTCATCTCTTCACCTTCCACCATTGTTGCTCTCTACAAGCTTCACCCATGGAAAATCCATTTCTCATCTACATGACTCGATCAGAAAGAGCAAACTTTTTCGAAAATCATTGATGTCGAGTCTCCCTTATCTCCTGAAGCTACCGATAAGGTTCTTGCCACAATCAAATCAGATGGATTTCTACTGAAGGGCTCACGGACAAAGAAAAGAGGCAAATGCTTGCTCTAGCTCGCCATATCTCCGCCACACCTTGGCCGTTTCCACCTGTGTCAGCCGCTGTCCCAGATTCCACTCTTCCCGGTCCAGCGTCTCTTGCCTCATCTCAGACAGTGGTACTCCCTGCCCTTTCTTCGCCTTTAAACACATCTAGAAAAATTGATTTTGATGTATCTCTGCCTGATCAATTTGTGTCTCCCATATCTCATGATGTTTTTGATGTTCAAACTCTGCCTGTACCTGGTGATCCTTATGATCCTTTGTCTCACAATTTACCTAGGGAAAATGTTGATTTAGTTGCTTTATCTGACTTAGTAAATTCCTTGCCATCTGCGTTTTCCATTCGAAATGTTGCCCAACATGTGTCTGTTCCAACCGTGGCTTGTTCGGCCTTTTCTATTCCCATTACTATTGCTGCGTCTAAAAGTCACTCTGATCCTGTACCCATTCCTGTTTCATCTACGCAAGAATCGGTTCCCATTATCTCTGTTCCTATTGCTAAATCTTCCCGAAAGGGAAAGGAGAAAATCTCTGTTTCAGGTACTGCAGAAAAGAGAGGATTGTCACAGTTGGATGATGTTGAAACTCAAACTGATCATAAACTTCAACGGAAGGGTTCCACATTGCCACCCAGAACAACTTGGTCAAGAGCCCAAGTTGACACACATGCTGTTCCTACGCCATCTGGCTCCAAATCGAAAGGATCAAGCAAGGTCTACAAACCGCATCTTCTGTCTCCCGATTTATTTGTTGTTTGGAAAACTCATGTCAACCGGGTTTTCATCGTCGAAAAATCCATCAATGAAGAGGATTTGGCTGCCAAGTGCAATATTATCCCGCTGTTACGTGATCAAAATTTGCTTGCCTCTCTACGCCATATTGGTCCCTACTCTACATGGTTGAGAGCAGAATTTTACACAAATTTGACCTTGGACACATTCAATGAAGGCTAGCACGATTTCATCAAGTTTTCATTCGTGGCACTTGGTATCCTTTCGGGCCTACTGAGATTAATGCATATTTGGGCACACCAAATCATCCTGCTTCTCCGGATCCTAGTCCTCACTTGTTGGCAACTGCACTCACTCATAATAAAGTGGTTTCATGGCCGAGTGATGGAATTTCAAGCTTGAAGCTCACAACTGTCTACTCCGTGCTTCTTCGCCTTGCATCGGCGAATTGGGTCCTGGCAGTCCGTCGCCATCAAGTACCAGAACATCTAGCTGGCCTTCTATACAAAATCAGGAACCGTCTTCCGTTCAACCTCGGCATGGTTATTTTCTCTCACTTAATGTCTTTTTTGCAAAGAAAGAAGCCAAAGTCCATCTCCCTTTTCCGTGTTTGATTTATGGGGTGCTTCAAGACCATGGTTTTATGCCCTATAAGGAAGAAGTGATTACAACTCCTAACAATGCTTACATTTTTGATGATCGACTTACACAACGAGGTCATTATGATGATCGAGCTTCACTTGATCAGCTTCCTGCTATTCCACCTCCAGCGCCACTAGTTTCTGCGCAGCCTCATCTACTGACACTACGTCAGCTTCTCGTCCAGGCTCAAGACTGGTTCCCAAAGAACCCCCCAACATTGGTTGATCGTAGGCAGATTGTGCTCACTCTTGAGGCCTCTATTGCACAAGTTCAACAATCGGTCACCCTCAACAAGCAACCATCTCTGGCCTTGCAAAGCTTCGTGATGCACAACTCGAAGAAACGCTCGCATAGAAGCTATTCACGCTCGGTTTTAGCTGACACTGGAGCTGCTTCCTCGGATTCTGACTCCGAAGATGAAGAAGATGATTCAGACTCGGGCACCCCGTCTGCACGGTAAATCTAATCCACTATTTGATGTTCACCTTCCTTTGTCATTTATTTGGCAAAAGGGGGAGTAAGGAGTAAGGAGTAAGGAGTAAAGGGGAGTATGGGGGACTATTCTACTTTTTTGGATGACTATGGTACGGTTTTATTGGCTATTTTGGAAGGGCTATTTTTGGAAGTGTTATTGCTAGTCAGTATGGTAATAATGGACTTATATTAGTTAGGGGGAGTAATAGTAGTGTTTGATGCTCCTAACTATCTGTATGGATATTTTTGGTATGGTATCTCGCATCACAAGTTAATCGGTGTTATGGTATGCTATGATTTCAACGCTTCTGTGTGTGATTCAAGAATTGAAGATTTTTTCAATTAGATTCTCTATTCACAAGTGGTCCAAAAGAATTTAATTTTTTAATTGTTTTCTAAATGTCTATGATATGTTAAGTACATATATTAAGGGCTATAAATAAAATTTAAATTGATTTTTGCCCAAAGTAATTGATACTCAAGTTTTCCAAATAAAATGCAAAGGGGAGATTGTAAGTGTAAAATAAATTTACACGATTGGCTATTTTATTGGCTTTACTAGATTTAAATTAAAATAGTGTTGTTAGTGTTAATTCTTTTATGGACCATGTGAGTACATAATTAGTGGCCATCATGGATTGTTTATTTGAGTCTACGGTGAAGCATTCAAAGAACAAAATGAGTGGCTGTGGCTTATTCGAACAGTGGAAGGCTTAAGGAAGAGGCTACATTTGAGGATCAAACAAAAGACTCATGAAGCACTATAAAGCATACTGTGATGGTGTCTTTGATAAGCCAGCTTTGCTCTTTGTTCAGATCAGTAAGTAAGCAGTTTTGGTTCAGCTAACAGCTTTTAGGGGCAAGGGCTTTTTGGTCTTTTCCTGTTAAGATGGCAGTTATAACTGCCATCTCTTCCTCTCTCCTTTTATAAGGCTGTAATCTTCTTTTTCTTCTGAAGACAGAAAATCAGAATGGAAATTCAGTCGGAGCTTTTTCGAGCCAAAGTCAGCTCAGATGAACATGAATTCGAGTCCAAATCATGCTCAACGAGCTGCTGATGAATTCGATGATCCCTGGTACCTGCATATTACAGAAAATCCTAACCTGATCCTGGTGTCTCCACCACTGTCCGAGGTGAATTATGCGTCCTGGAGCAGATCAATGAAGATAGCTCTTGAAGTCAAAATAAATTTGGATTTGCAGATGGATCCATATTGAAACCTGAGATAAATGATCCGAAGTACACTATTTGGAAGAGATGCAACAACATAGTGTGCTCTGGATCTTCAAATCGCTGAGTCCTACGATTGCAGAAGGAGTTTTATACCTTGAAGTTGCATCGGATGTCTGGAATACTCTGAAGAAGAGGTATTCTCAGGTTGATTCACACAGGATTGCTGAATTGCAGAATGAGATCTTCAAATGTTCTCAAGGTAATCTCACAATTAATGAGTAGTTTACTAAAAGTAATGCATTATGGGTTCAAATGAATGCAATGAGACCTATTCTTGCCTGTGAGTGTGTGCCTAAGTGTACCTGTACTCTGATTGGGAAGATCCAAAAGGAAAAGGAAGAGGATCAGATAATAAGATTCCTAGAAGGATTGAATGAAGAATATGAGAATATCAAATCCGAAATTCTAGTCATGGAACCTATTCCAGCCATGGAAAAAGTTCTCAATATGACTTTAAAGATGGAAAGGAAGCTCAGGAATTCTCTTAGTCAGAAGAACAATGATCTAGTTCAAGCTAATGTTGTTCAAGGTGGTGGAGATCAGAGTGCAGATGATCAACCTGTGGTTTCAGCCTTAAGCAACAACAACAAGAAGAAATACAACAGTGGAACAGGGAAAAATGTGCCTAAATGCATTTTTTTTGTGAATGATTGGACATACTATTGAGAAATGCTATAAGAAGCATGGATATCCCCCAGGTTGGGTAGCAGGTTATAAGTCTAAGAATAAACAACAGCCTCAAGATGCTCAGCAGGTCCACAATGCTTCTGTGAACCAAATTGGTGATATAGGCCTCACTAATGATCAGTTTCAAAGGCTATTGTCATTGTTGCAGAATCAGAATCAAGGAAGTCAAGCATCAACTAATGCAGCTGTGACTGTCAACACTACTGGACTGAGACCAGAATTCAGAAATCCCATGGAGAAACATCATGAAGGCAAGTTTATCTCTAACCTTCATGTTAGTAGTGCTTTAATTTCCTCCACCATTTGGATTCTAGACTCAGGAGCCACTGACCATATACATGCTCCTTAGAATACTTTGAAGCATACAATTCTGTTCAGGGAATGTCTGTTAAGTTACCAAATGGAGAAATGTTGAGTGTATCACATATAGGACAAGTCAAGTTGCATAAAAACATATTGTTGCAGGATGTCTTACATATTCCCTCCTTCACTTTCAACATTATATCTGCAAGCAAGTTAGTGAGACAATCAGGCTATGAAATCATTATGAAACCTAACTCTTGCACCATTCAGGGACATCTTTGGAATATGGATGGTTTTGCTAAGGAAAGAGATGGATTATACATACTTTCTGATCCACCTATGAAGAAGCAGATGTGTGGTGTGAATGAAGAATCTGATATACTTTGTAATGGTTTTTCTCTGCAATTGTGGCATGATAGATTAGGGCACTTTCCCATAAATAAAGTGCAACTATTAAAGGGAATAAAACTTGCATCTTCTTCTAAACCTGTTGATTTTATCTGTGAGACATGTCATTTTGCAAGACATAAGAGATCTATTTTCCCTGTCAGTGTTACTAGAGCTGAAAGATGTTTTGCTTTATTACACATGGATGTTTGGGGCCCCTTTGCTGTGCCATCTCTCAAAGGGGAGCATTATTTTTTTACTATGGTAGATGATCATAGTAGATTTACTTGGCTGCATCTAATGACACACAAATCAGAAGTAAAGACCATATTTCAGAACTTTTACAATATGGTTTGCACTCAGTTTTCAGGCAAAAATTAAGGCTGTCAGAACAGATAATGGAAGTGAGTTCATAATGACCATATTTTTCAATGAAAAGGAATAATACATCAGAGATATGTGTGTACACACCCCAGCAGAATGGGGGTGGCTGAAAGAAAATATTAACATATTCTGAATATAGCCAGAGCCTTGAAATTTCAGTCTGGATTGGCCTGATGATTTTTGGGGCCACTGTATCCTACACTCCTCTTATTTGATTAATAGACTTCCTACTGATGTTCTAAATGGTAGCACTCCATTTCAGATATTGTTTGGGAAGGATGTGGATTATGAGCATTTCAGATCCCGTTGGTTGTTTAGCTTTTGCTGGCAACTATTTCACCAGGGAGGAACAAGATGGGATCCAAGGCCTCAAAGTACATATTCTTGGGTTTTCCCTGCTAATGTCAAAGGCTACATGTTATATGATGTTATTAACAAAGTTACTTTTGTTTCTAGGGATGTCAAATTCTATGAACATGTTTATCCTTTCAGAGACAAAAATCTAGATGTCAATAAGCCTGCATCAGAGTTGTTTAATCCCACCTTTCCTCTTGTTCCCATTTCTGTTGAAGCAGATGCTAGTTCTTTAGAGCCAACAAGAGGACATGTTATCCCTGCAGCCACATCTCAAAGTTGTGACAACAACTCTGATGGAGATAACCAGTAGAGCTCTGTTGAATGATGATGATATTCACTCTGGTGAGACAGCCAATGATGCCTTGATGAATGGGCAGTCACCAAACCTCTTTGTTGAATTACCCTCTGTTAATACATCAGATGAGGTTGATAGGCAAGCTCAATCTGATAACATTCCACAGCCAAGAAGATCATCTAGAACAAGAAATGTTCCATCAAAGTTGCAGGATTACCTGTGTCAATCTACCATGATGAGAAGTAGTTTTAGAACCTCACCACACTCTATGGACAAGTTTATCTCCTATGATAACTTGTCACGCAGCCATAGATTGTGTGCATCATCCATTACCACTTCACATGAACCTCAAACTTACAAAGAGGGCAGTCAGAAGTGAAGAAATGGAGGAAAGCAATGCAAGATGAAATAAAGTCCTTGGTTCAGAATGATACATGGCTATTGACAGATCTGCCAGCAGGAAAGACTCCCATTGGCTGTAGATTGGTGTACAAAATTAAACACAAATCAGATGGTTCTATTGAAAGATATAAGGCCAGGCTAGTGGCAAAGGGATATACTCAACAATTAGGTGTTGACTATATTGAAACTTTTTCTCCCGTGGCAAGAATGACAACAATCAAAACTTTTTTGGCTGTGGCTGTGGCAAAAGGATGGGACATCTAACAACTTGATATTAACAATGCTTTTCTTCATGGGGATTTGCAGGAGGAAGTGTATATGGTTGTGCCACCAAGTTTTCAAACTGATAAGCCCAATCAAGTTTGCAACTGCTGAGATCTTTATATGGATTAAAACAGGCTAGTAGACAATGGAATGCCAAATTAACTAAAGGCATTGCAAGACAATGGTTTCAGACAATCATCTGCTGATCCTTCTCTGTTTACCAAGAAAACTTGTTATTCTTTCATTGCTTTGTTGGTATATGTTGATGATATCCTGGTTGCAGGAACATGTTCTGTTCAGATTAAAGAATTGAAACAATTTCTGGACAACTCTTTCAAGATCAAAAGATCTTGGTCCATTAATATACTTTCTTGGCATTGAAGCTTTCAGATCCTCTAAGGGTATCAACAATCTACCAGGAGGAAGTACACTCTTGAGATCCTTGAAGAAAATGGCTTCATGGAAGCCAAGCCTGCTAATACTCCTTTCAATGCAGGTCTAAGACTTCATAGTTTGGATGGGGTTTTGCTTGAACAACCTGAAGTTTATAGAAGATTGGTTGGCAAGCTTTTGTACCTGACAAACACTAGGCCAGATATAACATTTGCAGTGCAACAGCTTAGTTAGTTTGTGGACAAGCCTAGAGATACTCATTTGGTTGCAGCTCATAGAGTGTTTAAGATACTTGAAGGGTTCTCCTGGTAAAGGCTTTCAAATTCAAGGTTTTTCCTGACTTTGATTGGGCAACATGCATAGAGAGCAGAAAATCCATAACAGGTTACTGCATTTATGTTGGGCATTCCCTAGTTTCATGGAAAACAAAGAAGCAGGCTACTGTGTCTAGATCATCTTCTGAGGCTGAGTACAGAGCCTTGGCTTCCACAGTGTGTGAGATACAATGGTTGTTATACCTATTGGCAGATTTACAAGTTGAAATCAGTAATCCTGTGGCCTTGTTTTGTGATAATCAATCAGCAATTGTAATAGGAGAAAACCATGTTTTCCATGATAGAACAAAACATATAGAGATTGACTGTCATGTAGTCAAGCAAAAGGTCCAAGAAGGGGTGATCAAATTGCTAAGCATCTCATCACAGAATCAGAATGCTGATGGATTCACTAAACTCTTGGCCTAAACCAGCTTTTGATTTCTTCCATTCTAAGCTGGGCCTTCAAGATCTTCATGCTCCAGCTTAAGGGCGGGGGGGGGGGGGGGTGATGGAGTGTCTTTGATCAGTCAGCTTTGCTCTTTGTTCAGATCAGTAAGTAAGCAGTTTTGGTTCAGCTAACAGCTTTTAGGGGCCAAGGCCTTTTTGGTCTTTTCCTGTTAAGATGGCAGTTATAACTGCCATCTCTTCCTCTCTCCTTTTATAAGGCTGTAATCTTCTTTTTCTTCTGAAGTTTTCCTCTCCAATAATACAACATGCTGAGCTTCTTACCATAGATGAACTTTGTCACTTTCACCATGAGTTAATCTATCTTAACATACTGCTCGAATGGAGACATTGCCAATTCGATTCTTACACATTGCGAGAGCTATCCTGATTTTACAAAGCTGTTTTATGATTTAATGTGATTTATGATTTAATTCTTAAAAGTATTTAAACTGTACTACATGATCAGTACGTGGTACTGCTGAAGCAACTTGTGAAGATTGTTCGGGTATTCGTGTGTCAGTCCTGGATAGGTGTTAGAAAGAGTGGTAGTGGTAAAGGCTGGAGGCCATCTTCATTTACCTCTTGTAATACTCCTTTTGGTGAACATCTATAGTGGATTGGGCAGACGTGGGTTGCCCCGCAGACGTAGGAGAAGGAGCTCCGAACTGCGTAACAATTTCTTTGTGTTTTTAATTTACTTTATGCTTTCTGTAGTTATTATTTATACTTGCGTAAACGAGTTTAATTAATTAACTAAATTGGTGCATAACTTAATTAACAAGTAAAAACACATAGCTTTTATGTTTCAAGTGTCACGGTGCAATTTCATATAAGAAATTATGATGAACTTGAATTTTAGGAATTATATTAAATTATATTTCGAATGAGGATAAATCTTCTGTGAGACCGACTCCCAAATCCATTTCGGTGAGACGGATCGGGTCATGATGAAAATGTAATACGTACTAATAAGGAATAAAATGTTTATTACTTATATTGGTGCCTATGCGGCTGCACCGACCACAAGTTGGTGCGACCGCATTTGAGCTAAACTCTATATAATAATAATAATAATAATAATAATAATAATAATAATAATAATAATAATAATAATAATAATAATAATAATAATATTATTATTATTATTATTATTATTTTAATATACATCGCATTATACTATATACGATAAAATATTTGTTGTAATTTTAATTAATGTGTATTACAATATTTTTTAAAGTACAACTCATACATATATGAGAATGTTTATAGTGCCATTTGAATGAGTTTGTCTAATACTGAATTAAATTACAGTTGGCAATGGTGTTCGTTACAATAGTTTGTAGTCTGTTTTAACCATATCCATTCTCTCATAGACAATTATTTACTTTTTGTTCACATTTTAGTTTATAATGTTTATTCCTCTACATTTGTCAGCATGAGTTGTCAATTAGTAGTTTTTTTTTTTTTTTTTTTTTTTTTTTTTTTTTTTTTTTTTGTAAAATCTAAACGGATAAGGGAAGATTACTTGAATTTGATGAGATAAGTAGGATTACAGCTAGCAATTCGATATAAATGTATTGTTTGTGTACTAATTACTTGAATTTGATAACATGATTCAGATTACGTTGAACAATTCGATATGTATGTAAGGGTTTTGGAATCAGCTATTGTCTCCCCTAACGCGTCTCTCATGCCCACTGCTCGCTGCCTCGATATTTCTCTAATTGCCCACCCCCGACGGCGTCGCATCCCCTGCCGTCGACGAGCCGCTGTACTTCTCCGCTGACGGCGTCGCTTCCCCTGCCGTCCACGAGCCATTGCACCTCTCCGCCGACGGTGTCGCTTCCCCTACCACTCACTAGTCGCTGGCACTTCTCCGGAGGTAGTCCCTTTCCCTGCTGCCTACTCCGGTACGTTGATACTTTATCGTCGGTTTTCTGTTTGTAAATCTACTGTGTTTTACATTAGCCACGAGCCGCTGACGCTTACTTACATATGATGTTGTTTTCATCGCATAAATTATGTTTGTCCTGAACTTTTTTCTTTTAGACCATTGTGTTAATTTGTTTCGTATGGAACTGTGCATTCTTATTTGTTTCATCTACGAGTCTGCTTAGCCAAGTGCTTTAGAGTTTATTTACCTCCATCTACGAGTCTGCTTCACATATTTTGTATGGAACTGTGTTTTACATTACCCATTACTTTTGTTTCTTCTCATTGACTTATTCCCAACACCTAACCATATTTCTCTCCACAATAAAAGAATAAACCTTCTTCTTGACTAGGACAATTTCTTGTACTAAAACCAGTACAACTTGCTACTGGTTACAGTGATTTAGAAACATAACAATACAAGTTTTTTTTTCTAGCATGATGTCTCTTTCTATACAAAAGGCATACTGTGTGTTAGATGAGACTGAAAACTAATGTACCATACAAAAAAAAATGTATTACTTTCCTTTGGTTCCTCGACTGCAGAGGTTGTATGCATCTAATGCAGCAATTGATACGAAGTGGCAAGCAAATTCAGTTGAAGATGGAATCATGTGTCATCCCTCAGATTCGCTTGCTTGGAAGCATTTTAACGACATTTATCCTGACTTTGCATATGAAATTTGAAATATCAGGTTAGGTCTGTGCACCAATGGTTTTCAACCATTTGGACAATCAGGACAACAATATTCCTCATGGCCTATGATACTAACAACGTACAACTTGCCTCCTTGGATGTGTATGAAGGAGGAGTATATGTTCTTAACCGTATTGGTTCCAGGTACAAACAATCTAAAAGAGAAGATATATGTTTTTTTACAACCTCTTATTGCGGAGTTAAACCAATTATGGACAGTCTGTGTTCAAATATATGATATTTCAAAGAAGCAGAATTTTCAGATGCGAGCTACCCTTATGTGGAGAGTTAGTGATTTTCCTGCATATTCGATGTTATCCAGGTGGAACACTACTAGGAGGTTAGCTTGTCCATATTGCATGGATAAGTCAGATGCTTTCACCCTAAAACATAGTGGTAAGCAATCGTGGTTTGACAATCATCGAAAATTTTTGCCACCCAATCATCCATTTTGCAGGAATAAGACAACGTTCTTTAATAACAGAGCGGTTACAACTAAGGCACAGCTTCTTCGGTCAGGATATGATATCCTTGCAGAGATTGAAACTTTAGGCCTTAAGAAG